GAAAATAAGGAATGGTTAACCAAGTTACCCATCGTGTTTCAATATTTTTTTAAAAAAAATTGATTTATATGCTGCCCTTCTCCAGAGACTCAGGGCGGCTTACAGTGTGTTAAGCAATAGCCTTCATACTTTTGTATATTTATACAAAGTCAGCTTATTGCCCCCACAAACTGGGTCCTCAATTTACCTACCTTAGAAAGGATGGAAGGCTGAGTCAACCTTGAGCCTTGGAGAGATTCGAACCAGCAGTAATTGCAGACAGCTGGTGTTAAATTACAGTGCCTTGTCTGCAGAGCTGTCCAGGCTCTTATATCTTATATTTGAAGGGCTGCCACAAAGAAGAGAGGGTCATCTTATTTTCCAAAGCATCTGAAGGCAGGACAAGAAGCAACAGATAGAAACTAATCAAGCAACCTAGAACTAAGGAGAAATTTCCGTGAGAACAATTAATCAGTGGAACAGCTTGCCTCCAGAAGCTCTGGATGCTCCATCACTGGAGGTTTTTAAGAAGACATTGGACGTTCATTTGAAATGGTCTAGGGTCTCCCGCTTGAGCAGGGGGTTGGACGAGAAGACCTCCAAGCTCCCTTCCAATTCTGTTATTCTATTAATATTCTCTACAAGTTCAGTATGATTTACATCTGTGGCAAGTTCTCATACCAAGCCTAGAAGACCAGAAGAAGTGTCCCATGTGTTATTTTGTTTCTTGAAAGGCTGCCATAAGGACAAAGGAATTGATTTATTCCAAAGCATCTGAGGGCAAGGCAAGAAGAAATGAGTAGAATATATGATATAGGTCTGTCCTGCTTGAGCAGAGAGCTGGAGTAGAAGACCTCCAAGGTCCCTTCCAAACCTATGAATCCTTTCTCCTTGAAACGGCCCCCTTTCCTCTTAACTCCTCCCAAAACGTCGCCAAGCATCCTTGATTCCTCCGGAAGAGGCCGAATCAAATATTTATTAACCTACGTGAAATATTTAAAGCCCTCGGAATATTGATGGGAGGGCAAAGGTTAAAAGATGACCCAGGATTTGATGCTCTTGAATACACATTCGGCCATCTAGTCTGCCTCATCTCTGACCCTTAATCAAGAGCCGTCTCGGAATCACCCGGACAGCCGAGCCAGAAGATGGGTGACCTTTGTCTAACGGGTAAAAAAGGATCATCATCTAATCTGTGCTTAAACAGTTTTGAGTTGATGCAAATGCATGGCTCGTTTGATTGCTGTGAAGAGTGACTCAATTGCAATGGAAATCAGAAAACTCTAATTACGCCCAGGACTAAGGGGCAAGTTAAAAAAAAATAATAATAATAAGCCCACACGCTCTTGAAAGTTCAGAGAGAAGGAAGGGAGGGAGGAAAACCACACCGTAATCTAGGACCACCTTCCCAGCTGGAAGGAGATTTGGAGATACAGCCAACCATTGGCGCTAAAGACTACCCTGAAATATAAGTAGCCCTCAACTTACAGCTGTTTAGTAATATTAACAGAATAACAGAGTTGGAAGGGACCTTGTAGGTCATCTAGTCCAACCCCCACCCCCCCAAGCAGGAGACCCTGGCCTACACCATTTCTGACAGATGGCAGCCCAGTCTCTTCTTGAAAGCTTCCAGTGATGAAGCTCCCACAACTTCTGAAGGCAACCTCTGTTCCAAGGATGAAGCTCCCACAACTTTTGAAGGCAACTTCTGTTCCATGAGTTGATTGTTCTCACGGTTAGGAAATTTCTCCTTATTTCCAGGTTGAATCTCTCCTTGGTCAGTTTCCATCCGTTATTCCTTGTCTGGCCTTCAGGTGCTTTGGAGAATAGCTTGACCCTTTCCTCTCTATGGCAGCCCCTCAAATGTTGGAAGACAAAAGAGCCTTGGTGGTGCAGCGGACTAAAGTGCTGTTAAAGTAGCACATAGCTGCCAGCTGCCATCAATTACTGCGAGGTCAAATCTCACCAGGCTCAAGGTTGACTCAGCCTTCCATCCTTCCGAGGTATGTAAAATGAGGACCCGGATTGTGGGGACAATAAGCTGACTTTGTATAAAAAAAGAACACGGCCGAAAGCCCTACTAAGCAGGTATATGCAAAAGTATGAAGGCTATTGCTTAACGCATTGTGAGTCTCTGGAGAAGGGCGGCATATAAATCGAACCAATAAAATAAATAAATAAATAAAAGACTGCTATCATGTCTCCCCTGGTCCTTCTCTTCTCTTCACTAGACTAGCCATGCCCAGTTCCTGCAACCGTTCATCCCTCTCTCCCTCCCTCCCTTCCTCTCTCTCTCTCTCTCATTCTCTCTCTCTCTCTCTCTCTCTCTCTCTCTCTCTCTCTCTCTGTGTGTGTGTGTGTGTGTGTAGCATTTTTAGCAACATCACCTTGAGAAACTCTTTTATGCATTTCTTATTCCCCCAGAGTTATCTGGAGAAATGGTCGAGCCAACAAGTTTTTTTTTTCTGCCTCCACGTTTGGCTAAAAAACCTTGAAAGTCTATTTTGTGGCCAGCGTTACGTCTCCAGGACTGAACCTGTGGCAACAATCTGTTTCTTGCAGGGTGTTTTTTTTTTTTTTTTTTTTCCGCTCTACCTTCCCACAACTGGGAAACAATTTGTAATAGACTGTGCGAAGTGATTTCCTCTTCGATGTGAGATCATCCAGGGAAAAAGAGGCCAGGGAGCCTAGATAACATAATTGGTTTCTTGCAAACGTACGAAGCCGAGGCTGGTTTTATCACCCCATCATAGCAAATCCGCTGCTTGATGCTGGCTTCATAGCAATATCCATCTGAAGCTGGAGTTGAGTCAAAGAGTCTCAGAAGGTATTTTCTGACTTTGTAGACTAGGACTTATCCTCTGCATCGCAAAGTGGGGAGAGAATAATGTATTGGATGTCCTTTCTAGGTAGAAGAATCTTGATTTTTTATACACACACACACACACACACACACATATGGGTTTTCTCCCGCGTAAAATTGGAAGTGTCTTGACGACGTTTCGACAAAGTCTCATTCGTCATCTTCAGGCTGGTGTTTTCGGCTTCGTGCTTCTAGGACAGAAGCCGATCACACACATTGCTCCTATTATATATATATATATATATTATATATTATATATCCTATTATATATATATATATATATTATATATATATAATTTATATTTTGCTGATAAAGAAATAAAGGGAGACTAGTATAGATCTATTTCAAGCTATTTAGCTCTCATCAGCTAGCCATACCCTTACTCGGATTTGAACTTGGGCTTCCTGCATGTTAGGCAGCTGTATTAACCTCTGAGCCACAAGTTCTCCTCCCTTCATCAGCTTGAGCCAGGGGAGAGATTAAGTGTTTGCCTAGGTCACAACAGCAGCTCATTTGTGGTGCCCATGAATACAAGAAGCTGATTCACATAAATTTAGCAGAACAATGGCTGCTAACTCATCGCAGGCCAAACCACATGAAACAGGATGGGATGTTCTCCTTCTCCTTCTCCTTCTCCTTCTCCTTCTCCTTTTCCTTCTCCTTCTGCAGAGAAGAGCAACAAAGATGATTAAGGGGCTGGAGGCTAAAACATATGAAGAATGGTTGCAAGAACTGGGTATGTCAAGTATGATGAAAAGAAGGACTAGGGGAGACATGATAGCAGTCTTCCAATATCTCAAGGGCTGCCCCAAAGTAGAGGGAGTCAAGCTATTCTGCAAACCACCTGAGGGCAGGACAAGAAGCAATGGGTGGAAACTCATCAAGGAGAGAAGCAACCTAGAACTAAGGAGGAATTTCCTGACAGTGAGAACAATTAACCAGTGGAACGACTTGCCTCCAGAAGTTGTGAATGCTCCAACACTGGAAGTTTTTAAGAAGATGTTGGATAACCATTTGTCTGAAGTGGTGTAGGGTTTCCTGCCTAAGCAGGGGGTTGGACTAGAAGACCTCCAAGGTCCCTTCCAACTCTGTAATTCGATTCGATTCGATTCCTACTCTACTCTACTCTACTCTACTCTACTCTACTCTACTCTACTCTACTCTACTCTACATTCTGTTCTATTCTTTCTATTCTATTCTATTCATCCCAAAAAACCATTTTGTATAGCCTGTATTTTTGTGACGGCTCAATTTTTCCATCCCTTCTTCCGTTGGCTTCCCTTTCAAAGTATCTTTGGAGAAATTCTAAATGTTCTTTTTTTTGTTTTTTTTTTACACAGCTGTTGAATTTTAAATACTCCATTATATGCTATGGATCTTTAGATAAAGCGGCTCGAGGACTTTCAGGCACTAAACTCCAAATCAGATAAGAAGATGGGTTTTAAGCACTGCTCCATGCCGCTAAGTGGAAGCTTAGAAACAAAAGGCGAAATAAAAGGAAAGGGAGAGAGAGATACGGCAGAAGAGAAAAAGCATCCTTGGCTAGAAAGCGGTTGAGGTATTCATAATCGAATGCAAAACTTCTTTGCAAAAAAAATATTACACTGGAAATGCATGATGTACTTCATAATCACTCACTCACTCACTCACTCACTCATTCACTCAATGTACAGAAGATAGGAGGCCAGAGGAGCTGGAGTATAGACTTCAATGATGGAGTCTGGAGGATCTCAAAGAAAAAAAAAAAGGCATGAAACAAAGGTAAATCCAGATGAACCATTAAGATATGGGCCTCAGCCTTTTGCTCTCAAGATGGACAAGCTCACTCTCCCTATTCTCACATGAAAGGAGCAGCTCTCCCTTCTCAAATCTAGGTTAGGAGAAAACTGGATGGGTTCCCACTTTGCTATAAACAGAGATTAAATATAATGAACAAGACACCATGGCTTGGTTGATATATCACCCTAGACCCGTGATGGCGAACCAATGGCATACGTGCCATATCAGTGGGCATGCGAGCTCAGCTCCGCTGCACATGCGCACACGGGCCAGTTGATTTTCAGGCCTTCTGGGCCCACCAGAAGTCGCCAAAAAGGCCATTTCCAGCCTCTGGAGGGCCTCCAGGGGGGTGGTGAAGGCGTTTTTGCCCTCCCCATACTCCTAGAAATGTAAATTGTATTTAAGCAGCCCCTCCTTGCCATGTCTTCCTAGGTACAAAGAAACCAACAAACTTAATGAAACATTCATACCTCTGCTGTGGATAATGCCTAGCTTGGATCTGAATCTGCAAAGGATGAGTCATGCTGTTAAAGGGAGCGAGGGGAGAAAACGGCAGGGAAAAAGAAGAGAGACTCGGAGCACAGCACATACAAATAAGCTCTAACAAAGCCGGAAGGGCCTTATACTTACTGATTTTGCAAAGCTAAAGAAACTTTTGGTTTCCCCAGTAACCATGTTTGATGAGCCTAGAAAACAGTCAAGAGGGAGGGAAGCAGCAGACGAAAACGTGAGCACAGAAGTAGATTATTTATAAGGATAAAATGGGAGAATATTGATATCCCGTGTCAAAATCATAAAACAACATCTCCATTCTCCATAAAGGTCTTGAAAAAGGGCATCTTGTCTACTGTTGGGATTTAATTCTACTCTTGTGCTGTGCTCTTAATGATGCCATCAGAAGGAGAAAACTCCAACTATCTCTCACCAAACAACCTTCTGCTATTCTCAGTTGCCATTGAACGAACACTTAACCCATGTGTCCCTTACCTAGTGGCAATGCTGGAACTTTCAGCATTAATGGTGCAAGTCTTCTGGCAAACATTGTGCATTATTTTCATCCTCTTTTTGTTGAGTCATGTTACTGGCAAGGTGATATCTCAAGGACATAGGAGTCCTGGAAAATTCTGTTTCTCTAGACTCCCTATCCTTGGGATGTCCTTCTGCAGTATTCTAAGTACAACACAATGAAGGAAAATAATAGCATCTAATAAATCTTATGATATCTGCTCTGTCCCTCATAAGTGTTGTGCCTCGCCGGTGGCCAGCAGAGCTGGCAGCAGACTCAGACACTGAGGAGGTGGGGAGGAATATGGACCAGTCCTGGGGGCTGGGGAAAGCTCGGACAAGGGGCCCAAATTTCATTAATGCAAAAAAGGGGGATTTAAAGTATTATTGAGCACTTTGACATCTAAAGGGCAATCACACTTGGCCTACCAGTCTCCAGGATCTGTGAAATGACAGAGTAATGAATGGTAGTAATAATTCTGTACTGAAATTATTCCGAAGAGGGAAAGAATAAGATTTATAGATGAGTGGGTCTCTGCCATGTCAAGCTTCTTCCCCAAGGACTTTTAAATGATAAGGTTCAAGAGGAGAAGATTTTTCCTTTGCTGCCAATGACATAGTCTTCATTAAATGTGGGGATTCTTTGAGATCTGGGCCTAACAATTACCCTGCTGTATGGAAAACCTTCTATCATATCCCTGCAGATATGATTGCTTATCAGATAGTAAGAGGAGCTCCTTGGAGAGAAAGGGGGAAAATTGTGTTTAAAGCTGCATTTTTTAAAAAAATATATATTTTTATTGTTTACATATAAATTATTGAATACAGTGTTATTTGTCCTGGCATTCCACTTGCCATGCAACAAAGGTAAAAAAAATAACATATATATCTATTTTAAACAGTGCTAGTGTTGTACAGTTATTTTTGACCATCATATTCTAGAATGTCTATCATTCTAATAGCTACATTCTAATACATACATAGTATCTCTTTCCATGTCACCTAACCTGATTCTTTCGCATTCCAACTTCTACCTCGTGTTTCTAACCATTGATAAAATCTATTCCATGTAGAATAGTATTCTGTATTCCTTTATCTTTTATTGTTAGTGTTAGTCTGTCCATTTCCGCATAGACTAGTATCTTCCTTATCGTCTCCTCCATTTTTTGATGCCCTTGGTAGAATATCATCCAAGGGTCTACAAGTTCTATGCTACCAATCAACACATTTAATAGTTAACATTTCTTTTCAGTTTAAACCATAATATATGCTTCTCCAAGAGCAAAAGAAAACCTCAGCACAAAGTGGTCAAGAAGAACTTCAAGTATGGTCATATGAAAATCCAGCCAGCCTGGATGGCTTCAACAGTAGATTAATTGGTCCTATCTAGGGATATACCCCTTCTCTTCTACTTCTGCCATCTTTCCATTTCTCCTCCCGCCATTAAGGTGCTTCTTGGTTGATATCTGAAATAGCAACTGAATTTTTCATGCAATTACTCATTAGAAATCAACTGGAACAGCTACAATAGAATGGTGATTCTTGAGAAGTTCAGGATTTATTTAGCTTTTGAATTTTACTCACCATATAAAATGTAAGTCCCAAGTGGTTTGAGTAGACTGAGGCCTTTACCAGTATTTTCACCGCAAAGGCAATCCAGGACAATATCTACACCATCTGCAGAGATTCTGCAAAGCACAGAAACACCGTGATGATACCTGCTACTCAATGTCATCATAACTTCAAACAATCAGAAAACAGGACAGTTGTTATGTGTGGACTACTTGTGTATCAGGTGCTAGGCTGTCCTGGGGAGGTGAAGACCCAAATCCACAAATACTGAATCTACAAGATCTCTTTAGAATTCCCATGATGTTATTTGAGCATTTCCCTCCCTAGACATTCTACTTTAGCCACTGTTTGAATCAGGGGTGAAATCCAGCAGGTTCTGACAGGTTCTGGAGAACCGGTAGCGGAAATTTTGAGCGGTTCGAAGAACTGGTAGTGGAAATTTTGAGTAGTTCGGAGAACTGGCAAATACCACCTCTGGATGGCCCCAGAGGGCGGTAGGAATGGAGATTTTGCAATATCCTCCCCCAGGATTGGGGAGGGAATGGGGATTTTGCAGTATCCTTTCCCTGGAATGAGGTGAGAATGGAGATTTTTCAGTATCCTTCCCTTGGAGTGGAATGGGAATTGAGATTTTGCAGTATATGGAGACAAGTCCTGTTTATCTGTCCGTTGCCTTGATAGTGGCTCTAACTCCTGCCTTTCAAGGTCATTCCCAATGCCCTCTACAAAGTCTTTGTAGCAGATGAGAAAGGTAATGCATAAAGGTCAACTATTAAAATATTTAGTTTGGAGTAACCTATGGCTCTCTGCAGAGATACAAATAGCAGCCCAGCAGGTAGAATGATTTGGCCAACCTTGCTAATATTGAAAGGCAATGTAATGTCAAGTCTGCTTAGTGCTGAATAGGAAAACTTCAAATCAAAGAGTTGCAGCTAGACTGGGAGGTTTTTTTTTTAAGGGTTAGAAGAAAACAAAGAGAGCCTGATTCTTTACCAAGAAAACTACAGAGGCTTATTTATGGTATCTATAAAATCACCAGGAGCTGTCTTAAATTCAAAGGTGAAGTTGTCTTTACCATTGCGGATATTGTCCCCTTGTGAACAGGGATATTTTATTTGCCCTCACAATCAAGTATTATTTCCTATACTTTTATAAGGCATTCTATTGTTAAGAACCTACAAGTCAGAGCTGTTCAATTTTTTTAATCTTGCAATCAATTAAAATGAAAATACAGACCATCTACAGCAGGGGTCTCCAACCTTGGCAACTTTAAGACTTGTGGACTTCAACTCCCAGAGTTCCTCAGCCAGCTTCCTCAGTCTTAAAGTTGCCAAGGTTGGAGACCCCTGATCTACAGCATTTAGAAAATGGAGAACATACTTCTCTATATGTAGAGATGAAGAAACAAAATTCACTCTCTTCTTTTGATACTCTTCTTTTACTCATTCTGAACTTTCTTTTTCCCCCCTGCTTTTTCTCTTCCCTGCCCTAAGCTAAAGAAGGAACAGTTTCTATAAGAAGTTGGAACATCTTTGTAGACATTCTTAAAAATTAAGCCAAAAACCCCATAAAAATAGGTTGTAGCCAACAGATGTTTTGGAGGATCCATGGAAGAAAATGCCAGACAGAATGAGAGTAAATTCATATGCTTATTTCAAATTTCATTGTGAGCTTCTTTAGAGCCACTTATGTACAAAAAAATCAAAGGCAAATGTGCAATGAGAAGCCAACTTCAGTGCCTATTCTCAAAAAGCAAATTCCATGTTGTAAATTTAAATCTACATCTTTCGGTCTGCCAGAACTCTGGGCTAAAATGTCTTACAATCAGCCCCAATGGATGCGGTTGATGGATGATGAAATCCAAAGAATCTGGATGGCACCAGGTTGCTAGGTTTCTGCCTTAAATTAACCAAATCTGTGAAAAACTAGCTTCAACCATTCTCTACATAGAATATATGCATCAGCCTCTACAGCAGTTGTTAAAAGATTGTTTCAATGGCTCACTTCAATTAAATAATGATGAAAATCACTGGTGCACTCATTACGGATAATTGTATTCTACAGAGTCTGAAGGGCATAAGGTGCACCAAATAACTTCTAACTCCCAAGACCAGCTTTATCTCATGACAATTGTTGTCTGAAATTGGTTAATAGCCGTTATGAGGATATAGGTTAAACTTACTGACCTAGATTATGGATCTTTTTTTCCCCCTTTTCTAGAAACAGGAAAAGCAGTGGGCATCTGATGACAAGAGAAAGTGATGGAATTATATTACATGTAAATAGTTTGCTAGGATTAGGATGTTATCTGGCCATACTAAGCTATGGAAAAATTGTTTATAAAGCTCATTTTAGTTCTGCACTTCCCCCAAAACTAGCAATCCAATTGCTGGTCAACACGTTTCACAGCACAATCTGTATGTTTAAAAGAATGGTGGAATTGCAGGATTCAGCCACATCAGTGAAACAAAATTTTGATAAGTATCCTTTAAGGAAGAAAGTTATGGATCAAAAGGTACAGGCAAAACAGACAGAAGCAATTTGTCTTATTTTCCATCCTGAGTAAAAATAGAATAGAATAGAATAGAGCTGGGAGCCCGCTGCTCAAGCAGGAGAACCTATACAATCTCAGACAAGTGACTGTCCAGTCTCTTTTTTAAAACCATCGTGGAGCATCCACGATTTCTGAAAGCAAGCTATTCCACTGGTTAATTGTCCTTACTGTTAGGAAGTTTCTCCTTAATTCCAGGTTACTTCTCTCTTTGATCAGTTTCCAACCATTATTTCTTGCCCTCGTGCTTTGTAGAATAATTTGACCCCCTCTTCTTTGTGGCAGCCCCTCAAATACTGGAATACTGCTATCATGTCACCCCTAAATCTTCTTTTCTTTTAGAGTAGCCAGACCCAAAATCTGCAACTGTTCTTCATATGGGAAGATGGGATTCTAAAGATTATACTTCATTATACTTCTAAAGAGAAGGAATTATTTTGCGACCCTGTGATCTGTACAGGGGGGCCTCTCTGATGAGAGCAGTTTGCAGATTAGCTCACTTAATTGTGATCCCTTTGCTATGGCATCCAACAAAATGGTAACAGCCACAAAAAGCAGAAGTACCAGCAAGGTTGGAGAAGAGGGAAAGCCATCTTTCAGAAGGATAGTGGGGGAGATTGCTAAAGGCAGGAAAATCCTAAAACAGCTCACTGAAGACTGAGCTTCTTGCAAAGCACGGTCTGTTTGTTAAAGAAAACCAGAATGTCAATGTGCAGATTCTGTAAGGATGCCACTCCGTGTGCTAATAACTGGGATCATCGCAGCCAATTTTTGCTATAATCTTCAGTTTATAGTTCTCCGACTTCAGTTCTCAGTTCTTGATACTCTGTGATCTTCTCCAAGTCTTTATCTTCTACTCTTCTCTTGTTATCGCCACATCAATTATCCACACTTCCTTCTTCTTATAGCTGGTGTGTTATGAGCCAAGACTTTCATCGTCATTATTACTATATTTTTTTGCCTGTGCCTGTGCTGTGCAGTTGTTGAGGAGTGCTAGCTAACAGCATTTCTTTTGATCATTTTTCTTTTACAAAAGCCTGCTGACTAACCTCTCTTTTAAAAAAAGAAAGAAAGATGAAAGCAGAGGGGGGGAGGCAAACCTTTTCTTCTGCATCTATAACTTACGGAGTACATAATACTGTATTTGCTCTTCAAGAGAACAAATTATGCTCTAATTAGAAAGTAAGTGATACTCGTAACCTGCTCCCAGATTTCAGTTTCTACCCACTTACTCTGCGAGGCAAAATAATAAGGAACAAAGGCAGGAAAATCTCCATATTGTTGGGTTGTGAAGATTCTATTGCACGATGTTATGATTTTTCCACTGTTTCTGTCGAACAAGCTATAATTCTGATTAAGTACGCAAAGTGGGGTTAAGACAGGGATGTGCCCACAGAACCGGTAGTAAAAAAAAATTGGATTTCACCACTGGAAAACAGCTTGAAAAATGGCCTGAAAACAGTCCAAAAAACGGCCTGAAAATGACCCAAAAAAACCAGCCAAAAAACAGGTATGCATGTGCCAGCCAGCTGTCTTTGGTTTTTCAATGCTCCAGTACTCACAAATGCATGAACCTGCACGCACATTCCGGAAAGGGCACTCAATGCCCAATAGGTTCGCCATCCCTACCCTCCACCCAGAGCCCACCAAGGCTGGGAAATCAGGGTTAGTTAGAGTTTACGGTCTCTCTTTCCTAGAAGACAAAGAAGGCAGGGGAAAATAAAAAAATCACCCTTCCAAAGCTAAGCTGGAATGTCTGTTCATTTGCTAAATGGAAATAACTATTCCTGGGTATTTATGCCTGGCTGAAATGTGACATTTGGATGTTGAATTGGTTTACATTCAATTATCTTATTTGAGGGCTGCTAGCACGTCGGCGTCCCCAGCTATTCCGTTCAACCGGATTAAATATGCAGCGTACACCAGACCTTGAAACAAAGCTTTCATCGGAAACCTTTATCATCACACGCCAAGCCATTTCTCCGGCTCCGGGAAACCTATGATTATAATCAGGAGTCTTTGGACAATTGTGATTTGAATCCAGAATTGCATTTTAACGCCGGGAGCAGTCTAGCAGAAAAAGGCCACGGAGGAGAAAAGGAGAGCGGGAGAGAGAAGAAAGGAGTTGCGACTGTCATAACAAAACTTTGGGCAATCACTCTTGTGCTGCCAAAGCCCTCCGTCTCAAACCTGGCCCAACCTTGCTTGAAAAAATGTCTTTTTGGTTGCAGTGCCGCCGGCAAACCTAGTTTAAGTTTGATTGGCTTCCCATCTGGCCTAAAATAACAACCAGATCCCCATGTGAAGAGTTCACGTTAATAAAATGCTAGTTTCGTACAGGTAGCCCTTGACTTACAAGGGCTCTTTTAGGGACTGTTCGAAGTTACAACGGCAAGAAAAATAGTGGGGATTAGGAGGAGGAGGAGGAAGAGGAGGAGGAGGAGGAGGACTGTGAGGTCCTTGATGGTCTCTGAGCTTGGTTGTTTTCTTGCAGACATTTCATGACCCAACTAGGTAACCTCATCAGTGCTAGAAGGGAGGTGAGTTTGGAGAAAGAAGGAGGAGGACGGGGAGGAGGAGGACGACGAAAGGAGGAGGGGAAAAGAGTTGGACTATGGGGTCTTTGCTGCTCTCTGAGCTTGGTTGTTTTCTTGAAGACATTTCATGACCCAATTATGTAATATTATCAGTGCTAGTAAGGAGTGGAGTTTGCAAGGAGGAGGAGGAGGAGGAGGAACTGTGAGTCCTTGATGTCTCTGAGCTTGGTTGTTTTTCTTGCAGACATTTCATGACCCAACTAGGTAACCTCATCAGTGCTAGAAGGGAGGTGAGTTTGGGAGAAAGAAGGAGGAGGACGGGGAGGAGGAGGACGACGAAAGGAGGAGGGGAAAGAGTTTGACTATGGGGTCTTTGCTGCTCTCTGAGCTTGGTTGTTTTCTTGAAGACATTTCATGACCCAATTATGTAATATTATCAGTGCTAGTAAGGAGTGAGTTTGCAAGGAGGAGGAGGAGGAGGAGGAGGAAGGGAGGAGGAGGAGAGAGGAGGGAGGAGGAGGAGGAGAAAGAGGAGGAAGAGGAGGAGGACTGTAGGGTCCTTGGTGCTCTCTGAGCTTGGTGGTTTTCTTGCAGACGTTTCATTACCCAACTAGGTAACATCTTCAGTGCTAGAAGGGAGGGGAGTTTGGAGAAAGGAGGAGGAGGACAAGGAGGAGGAGGGAAGGGAGGGGAGGGGGGGGAGGAGGAGGAGGAGGAGGAGGAGGAAGAGGAAGAGGAGGAGGAGGACTGGGATCCTTGGTGCTCTCTGAGTTTTGTGATTTTCTTGCAGACATTTAATTACCAATGGACATTAACATCATCAGTGCTAGTAAGGAGTAGGGTTTGCTCTCATTTCTCTTATTAACCCCACTCTCTTCTTGTCCTGATGATATTACCTAGTTGGGTAGTGAAATGCCTGCAAGAAAACCACCAAACTCAGAGAGCACCAAGGACCCCACAGTTGCTGTTGTTGTCGTTCTCCTTCTTCCTCCTCCTCCTCCCATTCCTCCTCCTCCTCCTCCTCCTCCTCCTCCTCCTCCTCCTCCTCCTCCTCCTCCTCCTCCTCCTCCTCCTCCTCGCAATCCCCACTCCCTTCTAACACTGATGATGTTACCTAGTTGGGTAATGACAAATCTGCAAGAAAATCACCAAGCTCAGAGATCACCAAGGACCCTTCAAGTTAGAAATAAACAAACCTTATGTCGGTTTATAAAACCAAGGAACACTGGAGCATAAATAACCACCGCAAAAAGGGAGACCCTTAAAAATAATTTGGGAAAAATATGTAGGTATTTTCAAAGGGGGAAAAAGTTCTTTCTCCGCAGCGTTTCCCAAAGGCACTCAGAAGATTCTGTGCCCGATAAGCAAGAAAAAGATTTGGCTTCTCTTTATTCAACTTCATCCTTTCCCTACCCGGCACCCCTCAAAAAAAAAGAGAAAAAAACAGCCTTTTTCTCATTGTAATGCCAACACACTTCCTCGCTAGACCATTTCTCTTCCTATTGTCTCAGTCTCCAATATTCTGCCCTTTTCAAGATATTTCTAAGAGAATAGCAAAGCTGTACATTTTGGGTTTTTCTTTGTGTATGGGTGAATTTTTTTAAAAAAAAACCAAATATATATATATGGATATATATATATATATATATACCCTGGAAGTTGAACTTTGCCTCCTCCTTCAATTCAAACAAAACGTAGACGAGTTTTGGCTTGTTGCAAAAAAAAATAAAAAAAAAATAAGGAACTTGGAATTGGGTTGTGTTTAAAATTCATGACTTCGCGTCTCTTCTCTTCCCTGCCTACCTAAGTAACTTTCTTCAAGGAAAGTGAAAAGCAGTGAACTAGAAATGAAAGGATAGAAAGGGGGAGGGGGGTATTTAAATGCCATCCTATCTTTCTTTCTTTTCTTTTCTTTTTTTTTTTCAAGGAGGGCTGTGAGTATCTTAAAGCTACGGAAGACGCCGGTGAACTGTGAGCTTCCTAGCAAATTGAGTCGGAATCACTGGAGATCGGAGCTGGTTACGCTGCCACCTTTCCGAGAAAAACTCACTTGTCATCCTCAGATTGATTCACTGTCCTTTCGGAAACTTGCCTGCGAAAGTTGGATTTTCACAGTTCTCTTCCAACCGAAATGGATTTTTCCAG